CACTTTTTGCAGATTTCAAACCCAATTATCTCAGAATTTTGTGTGGCTGCACCAGTTTTTTTTTTTTATTGAATTTTGATAGTCCCCAGTAAGATCTATTTTGCCTGCATAGCCATTTGCTGAGCCTAGATTCTATCAGCAGGCACCATCCTTCAATTGGCCTTTACTTGGCATTGTCGTCTGGACTGCCCAAGGTCCCTCTTGTTAGACTGTGCCTTGCTAACCAGCATTTAGAGGAAGAAACAAATTGATCGAAAAGTACTTGATCAGTTAATCGTACTCCCTTGTTCACAGAAAGTCTATCAAATGTGCTCGGTTTTGGAACATTTCATTGGAAACATGAATTTCTCAAAAGCAAAGTACTGCTGGCTATTTGATGATGATGTTCATCCTTCACTGTAAGACAACCTCAAAAAACACAAATAATAATAATGATAATAGTGTCTTTATTGTTCAAAAGATAAAATTACATATCTTATGTTACATTAAAAAAGGATGTAAATAAGCTTAGGTGTATCTCTAAATAAGATAAGTATATAATTACGTGGAAACATACGAAAATCAAAAACTAGAAGTACACTTTTACAAAGTTACATTGTACTTAAAAACAATTCTATTAAAAAAGGTATTCTTAAAGCGGTTTGTGCAAATGGCGGGCATTATAGGGGCTTTATTTCTTAGAGTATATCTCATAATCTTGGTTTCAGGGAAGTAGGCTCTAAGAGGGTGGCTAAGGATAGTAGAAACCTTGCTACAAATTTTGTGATCTTGCACATTTTGTGATCTTGCAAATTCGTGTATCATGCTCTCTTGGTGTTGTGAGTGCAAAGATGGCTGAAAAGTCCGATATATACTTGCTCAAAACAGTCATTGAGTCAGGTATGCAATGGGTAAATGACTGTAGCCCTATGCATTTGATAAATTTGATGAACTTAGCTCTCCCAAACTATCTGATATTGATTATGAAGTGCCAAATGTTCCTGAGAATACCTTTATATCCTGCATATAATGCTTGGATAAATTAAACCTCCAAGATGTTTGTTTAAGTAAAATGGAATTCCCAAATTTATTGGTGTTAATATTTTTCTTCATTTTCAATTGACCTTTTTTTGGACACTTCTGATCATGAAACTGGACACCAGCTTCCTTATTAATTAGATTTTTAATTCTAAAAATTATGTTCTTTTTCAGAGTCCATAATCAGCTTGCAGTACAACTGCAGGGTGAGTTTCTTATGTAGATGTTGGAATAAATAAAAAAGATTATGAACATATATAAGTCCTTTTAAGATTAATTTTTACTCATCAGTCTGCAATTTTCAAATGTTTTATCGGTCTGGGAATTTAAATGTGTAAACTGTTTCTTGTTATCCTTCCACCTGCAAACATATCACCCAACAATGTTATACAATCCTTTGTTGAGACATGAATCTAAACTATTAAATATTTACCATCCCTGTCATGTTGCAAAATTGTATTTTGGCCCATAGTCCATAACTTAAAAGTGAGTCATAAAATATGAGTTTTTGCTGATTTTCAATAGGTTTCAGTGTGGATTGAAGAAGGCCTGTTACAAGTAATGATATTTTTTATCTGTTTTCCACCAACAGAATCTGGACTTAGAGATTACAGCCAAATATGACATTGACATGGAAGAAAGAATGGATATTGATGATGAACCTGGTAATTGCCTTATAGATGATTTTAATTGGTTTTGATTTGAATGTTTGGGTTTTCCTATTTGACATAATTTATTACACCTTACCATATCCAACCAAAAGATTAAAAGCCTTTGGATTAGCATCGATGGGTATGCCTTCTTCACGGCTGTTGCAGGTGGAAAGGAGACTATATCCCTGGCTAAAGATCGTAGTTGTGAAAGGTGGTTGAATTTTAGTACAAAGGCCAGGAAAGGGGTCAAATTGACCCCTAAAGAATTGTCTCTTTGATCGTCCCAGCTAACTATCACAGAAGTCTTTCATTAAACTCCTTTGACATACCAGATTCCCCGCATATGTTGTCCATACTCGCTTGAATAGCCAGTGAAGCTTATGAATGAATTGTCCTTAAAGCCTCAGTCCTTGATCACATTTTCTGCGGATTGTAGAGTGTTTATACTCGAGTGTACTTTTATTTTAACCAACAGAAGTACAGCCTCAACATAAGTTCCACCTGAAAATAATTGGAACTGGGTTCAATATGGAATCCTGCTTTGATTATTCTGAAATCAAGGACTATGTAACAGGAATTTACAATTTTCTTGCCAAGTTTGTGAACTCGCAAGTCCTTGTCATGAAAATGATCAGGTGTACGAGTTTTTACCTTCGCAATAGGGATAGCAGTGGTGAGTGAGAATATGTTCATCTTCCATTTGACTCAAATTGTCATTGAAATGTCACGTGCAAGTAAAAGCATTGTGAATTTGATAAATGTCACGTTTATTGGGAGTTTGTGAAGCAATTCATATTCTTATCAGAGCCCATAAACCAACCCTTTTTTAGAGAGGGAGAAGATGAAACTCCATTGATTTGCACAAGCTGGTCATCACATGTCATGTTACCTGATCAACTTAATATGAATAACCTCCAGCAGAGGCAAACCTAAATCTTTTTCCTAGCAAATGTTAAAGTTGACCATTAGTGTTTACTAGTATATTTTCACAGTAAGTTTACCTCTTAGAAGTGATTACTATGTAACTCCTCCACTTAACATCCAAGCATTACCCAGGAAACAGGGTATGGCTATACTCAAACTATCAGGTGGAAGTTGTTAAATTGATTCAACACTGAATTCTTCTAAGATAGGAGAATTAGCAATCAGATCAATCAGATCTTGGCAATTGAAGGGTCAACAAAAAAATAGTTCTTTCATCCTTCAAATATTTAAATAGTGTTACTTGTTGTATAACCCGAGTTGTTTTATCTAGATCCATGTCTTTTTTCATTTAGCAGTCATCCACTTGGTTCCTGAAAATGAGAAATTATGGATAAGAAAAGTTGATGAACATGGAAGGATGTCAACCTTCAACTACGCGAGTGACCCTGCCTGTGACATTATGTCTAAGAAGGAAATTGAGCACATCAACCGTTTTGTTGGTTATCATCGTGCAGCACCATGGCTGTTAAGTGTCCTTTGGCTTCTTTCAGAATTGGCTGTGAAACGTTATGGTAAGATTGTGACAGGATGAGATGTAACTAGACTGCTGGCTCCAGTTGTTCAAAGGGCAGATAGCACTATCCAATGGATAAATCACTATCCAGCAGATAAGTGTTACCAAAACCTACTGCGCTATCCACAGGATAGAGATTTATCTAGTGTATAGCGTTATCCATCCTGTGAACAACCGGGGCCTGAAGATTAAGTTATGTGTAATGGGAAAGAGGGAGAGGATTTTAGAGGGCTTCCATTTCCCTTGTATGGTAATATTGGTGAAAATGGGGAATTTGTTGTGTCTGTCTTAAGTTTCAGAATGCAACACCAACTTAATTTCAAGACCATTATGCAAGTGATCATCCAACAGACCAACAAAATCTCAATTAGTTACCGAGTTTTATTTCAGGAAAGAATGGAATAATTAAAACTATTTGTACTCAAGTTTACTTCTTACACCTATTATTTCTTATTTATTTCTTGTACTGGCAGGGTGTCAAGGCTGAAGACCCAAGAAGTCTAAACAAGACTTATACTTTTTTTTAAATTAAAACCCATTTGTGTCCTTAGAATTAAATGCAAAATAGTTTTGTGCTACTTTTATGTCAATCTTCTGGCTGAAACCTAGTGTCTCAGTGCCTAGTATCATGATATAATCAGTTAATCAACAAAGTTCATGTTGTGAATTGGCCACAGTGGATCCATTATCAACTCGGTTATAATAGTGATGTTGTAGATATGCTTTTGATGATTTGTTTTACTTTAAGGATAATCTTGGTTGAAAACTAGGAAACAGAGAATGTTTTCTGCCCAGACCCTAGGCCGGAGGAAGAAAAAAATTCCACCAGAAAAGCTTGCGTTAATCTGACAAAGAACGATCGGTAAAAACATAAAGCGACCTTTGATCTGTTGCTGAAGAGCTGTTGTGTCATTTACATAGCCAGAAAATCGCATAGTGTTAAGCTAAATTCTAAAAGTTGTACGTTTTGACATAGAATCGTCGATCAAACAACACACCCGGACATATCATAGTTTAACCATAATATTTACTGGGCCATTGTCGCTAGGCCTCACTAAAACAAAGTTTTATTTCACTTTGTAGACATAATTCGCTTTGCTTAAGAGAATCAGGATGTTGTCGACAGAAACCTTATTCCGTCACTCTCAAAACTTTGATATCCATTATTTTACGAACAGAGTATTCAATAGCATATTCGGCTCTCATTTTGAGCCCCAAAGGGCTAAAACGTTGGGAAAGGAACAGAAAATCTGACTTGAAAATTTTGAAAGTGGGTCACTTGGACTTGAGTTTGTTCATTTGTTGAAAATCACTTTGATCATTTGTTGAAAATCACTTTGATTCTACTTAGCATGGGAAGGTAGGGGAAAGCCTCTCGCAGGTAAGACAATTGTGTCGCATAGGTGTTAATGTGTTTATTTACAAAGGAGGTGTGAGGAAAGCTTGATCAAAGTGTGAAGACAAATTTAAAAATAATGAAATAGCTTATTAACTATTAATAACTACTAATCACAATTATTAATGACACAACAAATGGAAAAAGTCCATAAAACACATAATTTTCATCTGATGCAAAAACGGTTTTGCAAGTTAATATTTTTGGCTGTATAAGTGAGAGTGGTCAGAGTTAAAAATGGCCTCAATGCTGTCATATTAATAACACACATGATGTTGTTCTGAGGATCGTTTTTGCTTGTTCTTTTAAAGATTTTAACATACACCATTGATTTTGTTGTAAACTTATCAAATTCAAATGGAACTGATGTGGAAAAAATGTTATTTTCTTTCAATTTTTAACAAAATCAAATGTCAGCACTTTTTTCAAATTTCATACCCAATTATCTTGGAATATTGTGTGGCTGCCCCAGGTTTTTGTTTTGTTTTTGTTATTGAATTTTGATAGCCCCCAGTAAGATCTATTTTGCCTGCACAGACATTTGCTGAGCCTAGATCCTATTAGCAGGCATCATCCTTCAATTTACCTTTACTTGGCATTAAGCTTTGAGGTCTGGACTGCTTGATGTCCCCCTTGGTTGACTGTGCCTGACTAACTGGCATTCAGAAGAAGAAACAAATTGATTGAAAAGTAATCAATCAGTTCAACATATCCCGTTGTCTGTGGAAAGTCTATCAAATGTGCTCAGTTTTGGGACATTTCATAAGAAACATGAATTTCTCAAAAGCATAGGACTGCTGGCTATTTGATGATGATGTTCACCCTTAACTGCAGGACAACCTCAAAAAACAAAAATTTATATATTATGCTTACTTGGTGTTATGAATGTGTAGATGGCTGAAAAGTCCAATATACACTTGCTCAAAACAGTCATTGAGTCAGGTATGCAATGGGTAAATGACTGTAGCCCTATGCATTTGATAAATTTAATAAATCAAATGAACTTAAGCCCTCCCACACTATCTGATATTGATCATGAAGGGCTGAACAATCCTGAACACACCTTAATATCCCATATGTAACACTTGAATAAAGTAAAATGCACACTGTCTGTCAAACATTTCTTTTAAATGGACCTCTAAGATTTTTGTTTGAATCAAAGAATATGCCTAAATTTAGAGGTGTAAATATTTTTTTTTCCTTTTTGGACTTTTTTGTACTCTTCTGATCATAAAATAGGACTCTAGGTTCCCTGTTAATTTGATTTTTGTTAAATGTTCTTTTTCAGAACCAAGTATCTGTGTGAAGTTTAAGTATGAGGTTAGTTTCTTAGGGAGATGTTAAAGTAAATAAAGAAAATGGTGAACATTTAACTAAGTCTTTTTAACATTCATTTTTACTCATTGATAATTGTTATATACAGTTCAAGCATTTTTTGATAATGTGAGTTACAAAATATGAGCTGATTTTCAGCTGATTTTGGTGTAGGTTGAAAGAGGCTTCCACTTATCACAGGTAATGACATTTTATCTGTTTTCTATCAACAGAAACATGAGCTTCAGTTTGTAGCCAGCTATGAAAATGACAAGACAGAGAGAATGGTTGTTGATGAACCTGGTAATTGCACTTTCGATAAATATAACCTATTTTTATTTGAATGCGCTAATTTTTATTTTTTGTCAACACTGTTACAAACTTTGTTGGTTGGGTATGGTAAGCCAAGAGTCATGTATATATGTTAACATGTTGTAATTGGTTATTTACACTTTGGCAGGCTGAAGAATTCAGTTCAAAAATACGTTTTTGTAAAATTTTGAAAACATAATTAAAATAATAATGCCTAGTTTGACATGAAAAAACATTGGCCATTGAGGGTCTACCATATTCTTAACTGTGTTTGATTGAGTTAGGAATCAGAAACAGAGAAGAAAGAAACTAATTTTCCCATGTATAGGATGCATTGAAGTACTCACTAACTTATATTTTACAACTCAGTTGATGAAACCAAATTACTGGTATCGAATTTTAAACTGTGTTTAACAAAACATTTTAAAACAAGTTTTAAGCTTAGGTGCAAATGAGTTATGAGACTTAGTTTTTTTGTCAAGCTACAGTTAGATTTAAGTGGAACAAAGGGAGAATTGCAATTCATTTGACACCTGGCAGTGCAAAATTTTTCTTATAGAAAACAAATAGAAAACAAATAGAAATGTGGCTGTAGGAAAGGACTTTTGTTGCTCCATTGCAGACTTGGTGAATAGCAATATGAATAGATCACATATTCTGCATATTTTTTAGTTTGTTGACTTGCTGTACTTTGTTTTCTTCAACAGTCAAACAGCTTCCCTGGCAATCAAAACTGACAATGAATGATTACACAGAAAACCAGTGTATCTGTCTTGTCAATCCAAAGATCAAGGCAGATATAATAGAGAAAGTGGGTGTCCTGAAAGAGACTCTGTACTCAGAAAAGGCTGTCAGGGATGCTTTCAGGGTTGTTGAATGCTATCTTTGGGAGAAGGATCTAACTAGTGAGATTATTTTTTGTTTTATTGTTGTTGTTTCTTTTTTTGTTTCATTTTACACAATGAAGTGTAGCAGGGAAAATGTGTGAGGTTGACAAGTACTGTACAGTATAAATCTATAAAAAAAAGAAATGGTTCTTTCAATGGTCACATTTCAAATTAGTTGGTTTTTTTTTTTCATTGTTGTTGTATAACTTTCTTACAGGTTATTTTATCAAGATCTGTCTTTTTTTGTTTCGCAGGTATTAAATCTGTTCCTAATGGGGAAGAACTATGGATTAGTAAAGGAAGGTCAACCTTTAGGTACAGGAGTAACCCAGCAGCTAACACTGACATTGCTGCAACAACATCGAAAAAAATTAGCAACTTGGTAGGTGCTAAACCAGAGAGAGCTTGGCTGCTCAGTATCCTGTGGCTTCTTGCAGAATTGGCGGTGAATCAGTTTGGTAAGGGAAGATTGTAACTAGATTAGATGTAATTAGACTTCTGAAGAATGATTGAATATGGAAAATAGACCATGGGCAAGATGGAGATGATTTTAGAGGGCTTGAGTTTGTCATAAATGGCAAATTGTGTAAATGTGAACTTGTGTTGTTTTAGCTGTCTATACAGTGTCAAAATGCAATGCCTAGTTGATTCCTAGACTTCAAAAACATCTTGGCAGAAAGTGTGCTTTAGCTTTCACAGCAGGTGAAGCAAGCTCACTTGGTCAGAGTTCTTGCAGATTTTGAAAAATTAATAAAAAATTACAAGGTTCTATAACAGTACTTTTTGATTTTTTAACCTATGTGTTAAAGACTGCTTGCAATTTTTGTTTAAATGTATTATACCTCATATAATCTTAGGACTTTATTTATAACTTGTAATTTGTATAACAATACTTTTAGTCCACCATATCAGGACCCATCTGGATACCAGCCTTGTAGCTGAATGGGCCACCCTAAATTAGTATAGTCCATTTAGGTATCGATCTATCAGTTGGAGTCATATCAGACCAAGTTTTATTTCAGGAAAGAGTGGAATATTTGAAATTTATTTGTATCAAAGTTAACTGCTTACACTTATTATTTCTTATTCATTTCTTGTACTGGCAGGGAGGCAAGGCTAAAGACCCAAGAAAGCCAAGAAAGGCTAAAATAGTTTTCGAAGAGAAATGTTTAAATTTAGTAATATCATATAAGCAGTAACTAAATGCAAAAGAATTTTTGTTTTCATATCATACTTCTAGTCGAAAACTAGTTGATGTAGAATGTGTATAGGGTTAAGTGTCAGTGCTTGGTATCATGAGATAATCAGTTTATCAACAAAGTTGATGTTGTGAATTGGCCACAGTAGACCCACTTTAAATTCTTGTTATAATGAAGATGTTGTAGAGAGGCTTTTATTTACTTTTACTTTTTTTATCCTTTTTATGCTGAATAAATGGCAACATTGCTTTTGTACATTTGTGTGAATGTACTCAGATCCTTAGTAGCAAGAAAATAAAACAAACCAAAGGTTTGGCGACACTTAAACTCTTTCCTCCCCACTCTCAGTATTCATATTCACCTGTTCTTCTTTCACTTCTCATGACACTGTCAAGAATAGTTTTTTTCGATAACCAGGAGCTTTTCATTTGATTCACAGGTGATCTGTACTGAAGGAGAAATTAGAAGCCAGGCACTATTAGGGGTTGAAGGGTTCACCTGCCCACTTGTATTTGTAGCAGGGAAACTGTGCTGGGTAAGTTGGGGCCCCTTGAGAGGGCTATGGAACTACCAAAATAATTGCCATGCACATTCAATGTTGCGATAAATTTTTTCCTTTGATAAGTAGAAAAGAGCTTGAATAGATAAATTATAACACTTCAAAAGGTTCTAGCTCAAAAATCAATTTTTTTCTCAGTTTTCCCCTAATGCAAATTTTGTTTCACAACATTTTGGCTTGTACAATTGTGAATTCATAACTCTCATGATTTTCGCTGTGCTCTGTGTAAGAATTTGTAACCTTTGCCTTGTGAAGCACTCCTGCGTTGTTGTGTCAAAGAACTGTAGCATATCCAGTAACAGATGCTCTTAATTTGTCCCATTTAGGCAATGTTTTATTTGGAAATCTTTTTGATACAATTTTACATCACACCTCACCATTTGAGTTTGATGTAAAAGCTGAATGGCCTGAGGGGTTCCCTGCCCACCCAATGGCAGCACTTATCTGCATACTTTTGTAACCACATGTCATGCACATTACTTCCTCCCATAAGCTGAGAACCTGTTCTAAGGCTCATAATCCACCAGCTGAAAGGTCATCAAATCTGTTATAAAAATTTCCTAACGACAGAGTATTTGTGATGAAAAACAAAATCATTTTTAAGTGTTGAAAACATCTTTTTTAAAATAGATCAAGCTTAATATAATTTATGGGAAAAGAAACAGACAACATTTGTACAAAGACATTTTCTTAAGTAAGAAGAGCATTTTCCATTCACATAACTTACAGTTTGCATGGCAAACACAACTGAGCAATGCTACTCAAGAGTGGGTCCCCTATACTTTTTGTGTGATATTTTCATGTCCATATAAAGTAAATAATTGTTTTATCTAAATGTGAACATATAAATTTATTGTCAATAATGGCCTGCTGGCATTTCCATACAATAGCCATGGAGAAAATAAGTTAATCAGGGTCATTTTTATTTACTGATCAGTTCCTTGATTCTCATAACTTTCACTTCTGGTAAGATGCTGATACTGTTCTCCTTTGAGAGTTATGATTTAAGGGGTAACATGAAGAGAAATGTTCAATTCTTTATGTAAAGAGCACTGGCTAATCAATAACCAGGAGACAAGTAGGGCTCAGTTCATAATTAACAATTGCTCATGATGTGGAGGTAATTATCCACCCCTTTTTGAATACATTGTTACTCGAACATAATATTTACCGGGCCATCGAATCGTCAAATTGTCGCCAGGCCCTGCTTGAAGTCCGAAAGTTCGGTTTCCACCTTACGTCCATAATTCGCATCGCCTTGGAGAATCGTAGTATCGTCGACTCGAGAGCTTATTCCGTCACTTTTAAGACCTGGATATCCATTCTTTTCCAAGAAGAGTATTCTATAGCATTGTTACTTTACATTCTGAATTCCACAAGGTCTAACTCGATCGCCAATGAACGAAAAATCTGACCTGAAAAATTTGAGGGTCGGCCGCGTGGACGCCATATTTTCAAATTTGATCATCTAGTGAAAGCGCATAGAATAATTCCCCTCTAGTACCCCCTAAAGTCGAAAAAAATATATGCGCAAACAACGGATTCTGATTGGCTTATTGATCTCCAAATTTAGAGGAAGTTTGGAGACAAAACTCCACTTAGTAGGGGAGGTAGGGAGGCAAGCGTTCTCGCCCGAGGCGATCGCGGGGTTCGGGCGGTTAAGGCGTCTTCGGAACAACATACACTGTGTAAGAGCCAGTTTCCTTCGTATCTGTTACCACCCGACTCTTCCTTCAAATTATCTCATAAAAAGAGCAAACGATATTTTTATTAGTAAGTGCGTAGAACAAATTGTAGGGTTAAGCCACGAATTTATGAAGCGACCTAATGAAGGAAGGGCATGGAATGAAATAGTATCACCGGAATTCTGACCAGAAGTAGTTGTTGCAGTAACATGCAACATCAAGGACATGAGCTGTAACCATACCTGAAATGTGTATCATTTCCGCTTACAATCGTTATCGCTTTCGCACAACTGAACAGAAATACGTTCAAAATACATCTTAATATCTTGCTCGGCCACTTGCAATGCATGGTCGTTTCTCTGACTGTCAACCACCTACACATAGTTTACTGCTTCGAACAACACACAATATGTGAGAGCCAGTTTTCCTTCGTATCTGTTACCAGAATCGATCCTGAAATGTAAACCTTACTAAGACTTCAGGGTTCTTATTTTATTTTTGTTACAATGAGCAATACATCCAAACCCAGCCACCGATAAGGAGAGAAGATCACACTCGAGGTTGGACAGATAACATGAAATTGTTGACCACAAGATGTCAGAATCTGCCAGAATCAAGACGTCAATCAAACCAACATACACCATGGAGAAGTGACCAAAAGAGACTGGGGTGAAGATTGCGCAGAAAGCTTGGACTAATTGATTGCGGGCTCTCAGAAATCTGACCAATCAGGTGTCTTGACTATTGTGAAGACTGGAAATATAATAAGGAACTGTATCGTCAAAGTTAGTACACTAAAGACACTTGCTTCTGAAACACATCCAAAGTAGGAAGTCATGACTGAACAAATTAAAATCGGCTCCTCTACTCTTGCCTTTATGAATGTTTTGCGAGAACAAGCAACATTAAAATGGCTTTATGCAATACCTTCGGAACTAGAAACGGTACGTGAGTCCTTTGAAATTTCTGACTGTTAAGCGTTCAGCCCCCCGGACCAAACCAAACCAGGACAACACAAAAAATTATGTTCGCGAGAACGAAACTCGTGACACTGCTCCGTTTGTGTAAATTCGCTTTATTTGTGCGCGCATTTAATGTCGCAGCATACTTTGACTTAGCCATTATATGATGTAAGTTTCATACGATTTCAAACCTATCGACGGAAATCACGTAGCGAAAGTAACTCGGCGAAAATCACGGCGGGTTCTCTGTACGCAAAATGGTCTCAATCTTCGTCACACTGACATGTTTCTTTTCGTCAAACGATCTGTTATCGAGTTGCTACACATAACTTTGAGTCCTTTTCGCTTTTCGCAATGTACTTCTTTCATTTGACGTAAGTTTCACATTACACTACTTCACCCTGCTATCGTCTGTTGTCGAGTATGGCGTGCGGTCGTTCAGTAGCGCCGCTGTTCTAATCTGTTTTTTCGCCTTGTACTATACATGAGATCCATAATAAGCTTCAACATAACCGGAAGACCAGCCTAAAGCAAGAGGACAGTCATTCTTGCTTGCCTCCTAGGTGGAAACTACGATTTCGTATGTGGCTTAAAGCCGACCAGCGCAACGAGGTTTAGACTTTAAAGCAAATTCTTCAAGAGGAAAGTGTTATACTACGCCAACTCATCCGCCTTTACTAATCTGGATTGCTGCTCACTACTCTCTGCTCGCTGCCCAGACCCTAGGCCGGAGGAAGAAAAAAATTCCACCAGAAAAGCTTGCGTTAATCTGACAAAGAACGATCGGTAAAAACATAAAGCGACCTTTGATCTGTTGCTGAAGAGCTGTTGTGTCATTTACATAGCCAGAAAATCGCATAGTGTTAAGTTAAATTCTAAAAGTTGTACGTTTTGACATAAAATCTTCAATCAAACAACACTCCCGGACATATCATAGGTTAACCATAATATTTACTGGGCCATTGTCGCTAGGCCTCACTTGAAGTAATAACAAAGT